CCAGCCACTGGAAGAGCGCAGGGCGCGTCGCTTCCCGGGAACGCCGTAGCATGAACGCGACGTACAGTTGCAAGAGGATTTATGGTTTGATGTAGTCCCCAGAAACGCGCAGGTGAAATGCTTCTTCCGAATCGGAGGGAGACCTTCACCGAACCTGGGACCCTGAATGTGTGGTAATTAATATCAACCTCTAGACTTTGGATTGAACGAGCTCAACTTTTTTATTGTTCTATACACATTAGGTTTTTTCACGTTCAACGAAGCTATTTCAAAAGCAGGGGTCGGATTATGATTCGTACACTCCATTGATCCAAAGGGCTTCATATTTGCTTGATGTGCGAAGGAAGTACCTCGAGGACAGATCCAGTGCACTCATGTGGCTTTTATTACTGGGAACCTGAATTCTCGTCTCCGATACACAGTAGACAGCGATTTGAAAGAGCCCATTGTACGCGCAAGACAAACTTGTTGATCCCACTGCATCAGAGTTCTCACGCTGAAGGACCCCAGAGTCAGTGATTCACGAGGCTTCATAATATGCAGTAAATTTATAGTTAACTACTTGCATGCTTGGCAAGGAACTTTGGCCAGTGATGATCGGGTTATCTGAGGGAAGTTTACTTGTCGGAAGAAGGGATAAAGGGGAAGGTCCTAAAGATGAAGAGTAGCCTACTCATTACTATTCATGGGAGCTTGAGGGACCGGTACTGCTGGAGTGTCCAGCCATTAGCAGGAGAACGATTAAGGTTCTCAACCAAAACCTTTGTCTCTGACAAGAATCTAACTACAATGAAGCGGTCAAGGCAGAGTGGAGGCCCATTTACTTGGATCAACTACTCCTCCAGCATTTTTAGCGATTGAGACGCCATTCCTAGTCGAACCCTGAACCTGAGGGAGCAGGAGACATGACTTCATCTGAGCTCTACCCTGGAACTTTCGAAGCCTGATTAGATCCTCGACTCGACGAAAGCCAACTAAGGTAGCTCGTTGGGTTACACCATTACACCATGTCCAGGTCCAGTCTCATTGTGATGGCCGAGGAGAGTTCCTGTTGTCATTTCTTATCGAGTCAGAACTCTCGAGAGGGTATGTATGCACAGTTGTCGCTTTTCAATCAGGCTCAATCTCTGTCCCTCTTATACTTTATTACAAACTGCGTTGAGCTTGCCAGCGATCAGCTGGTTTCACTTCACTGTATCTCGCTGAAGAAGCAGAGTCCGAGGTTACGGAACTCTTTCGCCCAAGTTCATCACGGAAAGCGGTGTTCGTCAGGCTTGTCCTCTCTCTCCTTTTATATTTCACTTTCTATTGCATCCGATTCTGGAAAAGCCCTCTCCTCATTCGACGATAGCGGTGTCTATCTGCTCTTAGGTAATAGACTGTCCGATCTAGAGTACGCAGACGACATTGAGTTTGAAATGAAGACCCATCTGATTTACCAGCTTTTCTAGATAGTTTATGTGCTAGTGTAGCCGTGTTTAGGATGCGTTTTACACTTTCGACCTGTAAAATTTCGCTAAATGACTGGTTTGGCCCAGCCCCAACCTCTCTAACAGGGGTAGAAGACAAATTTTGGTATATCCCACCTGGCAGGTTCATCGCGTACGTAGTGTCGATACGAATACAGAAGACCTGATTGGCATTTGCCAACTGGAGACACCTCTGGCACCGTCTCGATACACGCTGTCTGTGAATGACCCAGGGTTTGCTGCAGCAATGCGAGCAACGCTGATATATGGTGCAGATTTTTCCCTTAGGTGAACAGGATAAAGATAGATCTCTGATGCCCCAACACGGCCCTTTTAGAAGGATTTATCCAAACAAATTTGCCCGGCGTTGAATATAAGGTATTTGTGATAGATGTGCACTTTCTGGATACAAGTAAATGAATGATTACGAGGTAAGCATGCCTGACGAGCGCCAAGATCCGCCAAACCAGTCGTTTTTCCAGGTAAATTTTGTCGAGTGATTCATACACTTCTCATTATATATATATATATATATATATATATATATATATATATA